ATTCTAGAAACCTTGGACTGGGGCCAATAAATAGGGGCACACACGAGCCTCCTTGGGGCGCTCTCCACACCGACACCCCCCATTGGCAGGTCTGACGCTGGATCCAGGATCGGTGATCTCTCTATCTCTCTCTATCTCTCTCCTGCTTCCCAGCTCTCTCTTTCTCTCTCTCCCCCCCGCCTCCTTCTTGCTCTCTGCTTTTGATGCTGCTAAGTAACACAAGGCCTACCTCAACTCCTCATAAAGCTGCTTAGCTTGTATGACATATTAAGACACAGAGGGTTGATGCTTATAGAAGTGTTCATGCCATTAAAGTCGATGTTCAAGTTTGGACCTTGAGTGTTATCTCACCTTAACCCACACGGAGGGGATTTGCGAACCTTACTCACTCTCCCCTTCTTGTAGGTGGGACGTGACAGAAGGGCTGGGGTCTCACGCTGCAGGTACAACCCTGGCAGGTGCTGGGATGGACTGGGATGCTGCGTGGGTGGAGACAATGTCCCTCTTCTAAATCCTCGCTTCTGATGCTTGTCCTTCTGGGCCAAGATGTGGGACATTACAGAGCCTTTCAAGTCCTCTCAGGCTGATGAAGTAGTAGAAGGTGAGGAGGCCTGACAAGACCTGACAAGGCGCCGCAAGGCCGTGAATGTGTGTGCCCATACCACCTTCTTCTGCAAACTTACCTCAGGTAAGGTGGAAACAAGCTCCTCACTGTCGGTAAAATGTGCTGGCTGGGTGACATAGTCATGTCAGGGAGAAACCTTGACGTGCCAAACTCTTCCCAAACTACTGCATCTTTACTGAGCTAAAACGTGACACAGGCACATCACTTGTCATTCTGGTGTTGGTCTAAACAGCATGAACGTGTCACTGGGAAGGTGGCTGGTCTCTGTAGGGAATTTCTTGCGTGGTTCACACCAGCTCTGTATGAAGTTAAGCATTATATAGGTATTCCTACACAATGCTACAGTTTGTTAGCTTTTTATCCGGTTCTGCATGGTTAAAAACTCACCTACTGTTTGTACCCACACTTGTCAGTTACTGAACACGTGCATTTGTATAAACTCAGTCAGTCAGTCTTAAATCACTTGGACTAGTTTTCCCCTAAGAAAACAAGGGAATGGAGATTGTCTCTAGCACCAAATCAGGGTTTTATCCCAGAAACCTTGTAGTGCCCAACACTTGTGACTTGTTTCTGCCACTACTCCATATCATTTATAATAAGCCAATCGTCCTCCACTAGCATGTGCTGTCCCATGCCCCTTCTCAGCAGCAGCCTCTGCTGTCACTAGTCTATCGTCCTCATGCTGACTTGTCCCTGAGCTTGGTCATTGTGTGGGTTGATGTGTCTGCCAGGTATCAGCTCTTAATTGCTGAGCTGCTTTACAGTTAGCGGCCAGTTAGCCTCAGCATGGGTGGTGTGTTTTGGGATGGGGACACCATGCTCCCCGGGGTCTAGCCCCAAGCCCCATGGAAGCTGTGCATGCCAGGCTGCAGCCATCAGCTTCTGCCTCTCTGGCAATCCCATTGGAGAGCAGGGACATGAGTTGGGCTGGACGCAAAGAGTGGGGTTGGGATGTGCTATCCAGACATGTGGCATGGGACCCTTCCTGGAAGGGTAGGACTGCACGTGGTCTGGGGAAACCGGGGCTCGTGCTGGGCTGATGCCAGCTTCTCTGCTTCCCCAGGCAGAGCGGGACTGAGAAGGGCTTGCCGACTTCCTTCCTTGCCGACTTCACAGCCATGGCCTGAAGGTTGGGATTATTGGTATTATTGGGGGGGGCTACCTTGGGAAGCAGCTGGCCCAAGCACTTCTGACACTGAGCTGGGCTCTGCACCCCAGTAGCTGTGTTTGCACTAGGCGCCCTGAGAGCTTTGGTAAATGCTCCCCAGCCTGGGCCTGGAAGTGGCACTGCACTTATGTGGACTTTTAACTGCACTTTTTTCATAGCACTTCAGGCAGAACTCACTAAAAAATGTTTTTCTGCCAAAAATATCGAAGGTATGGAAACTCCATTTTTTTTATTGGGAAGCAGACGATGCTGTTGTAGAAAAGATCTTTATTTGGTTGGAAACCCACTGTCCACCAAACATTAATTTAGTTCTTTGCTTTTTTTTACCAGTCCCATCTGAGTGGTGGAGTCATTAACCCTGTTCTTTGAACACTGGCTAGTTTAAGGCCTGGTTTAGTTTAGTCCCCCCATTTTTGTAGCTCTTCAAAATTCTCCTTGTCATTTGCCAAGAACCTGGTCGATGACTGAGACTCCAGGTTGTTAAATATTCACCCAACAGAGAAAACTTCTCCCCAGATGAGCGGCAGTGCTGAAACAGAGACATTCCTCTGTTTCATGACTGCAGGGTCAGTTGTAGCAGAAAAGCTTCTCGCTGGGCTCTGAACATTCAGCCAGGAGAGGAGATCAGCCTGCAGCATTACAGCAACTGTTTGCATACAAACTGTCAACTGCCCTGTAAACTCTTATATAAAACAAGTGCGGAGAATGGTCCTCCAGGGAGATGTTTGGAACAATAAAATCCTCTTTCTAATCATCTCAGGGCAGAGAGGAAGCAGGGATTATTAAATGGCTTTTTATAGATCTTGAAAACTGGCCAGATCCCAAGGCTCGGCTGTTTCAGCCAAAGTCTTTAAATCAGTGTGCATGAACTGGGGCCAGGCAGCCGAGGCAGCTGAGCTCTCTGCATGTTTATTCCTGGCAGAGAGGCTGCCTGCTCCGTGTCACTCTGCTGCTGCTCTTTGCCATGTAAGAATGGTGATGGGCAGCAGCCAAAGTCCCTCCATGCCACTTTGGGCAGGCAGCCAGTGGTCCCAGCCTGGGAGCGGTGGTTTGTGTTTCACTTGCATGTGGCAGAGCACAGGTAACTGCGCTGCCGGTGCCCAGAGATGCTGGTCGGTCACCTGTGCTTGTTCTGTGGGCTCTTGAGTCCCTTTCTCCTTGCTTGTCGCAGCAGACCTGCAGAAGCAGGGGCTCACGTGCTTTTACGACAACACTCAGCTGGTGGCCCGGGCTGACATTGCGTTCCTCTGCTGTCTTCAGTTGCACGTGCCGTCCATCTGCTTCGTCATTCAGCCTGCCATCCAGAAACCCTCCACTGTGTACAGCCTCGTCACCACCGTCCCTCTCCTCAGGTAAAACAGACCATGTCATTTCAGACCCTTGGATGTGCTGCCATCGTTTGGGACCTCACGGGGCAAGCACAGTGCGCATGGCTGTGCAGGAGCACAGCTCTTATTGCCTCTCACAATTTTATTGTGAAACGTCATTGCAAACCTTGCCATGGTTTGTCACTTCCCCAAGCCCCCAACTGCTGGAGTCACAGGAACACGTTAGAGTTTCAGCTTTCTGTTTGTCTAGAGGAAGTTGTAGACTTTGTGGCTATAAACCTGAAAACATGATCAAAAGCAGTCAAGGGAGCTCCAGATCAAATACAATGCTGGCATTGAAACCCTGCTCCTCCAAGGGCTTCAGATTATCGCTGCAAGATAACCTGTTGTGAGACAGCGCAGGAAACAAGGTGCAAAGAAGCAGCCTGCAGTCTCCACGGTCAAAAAACCAAACGCAGTGCATCGTGTTTCACTTTAAGCTGCTGCTGTAGCTCTCCCGAGGGCTCTGAGTGCAGGGGTATGACCTGTAGCCCCTCCTCCTGACCCCTGGGGGTGCCCAGCCCCTGCGGTCAGACCAGTCCTGGCCTTCTGCTGAGGTGACCAGTGAGGGGCCAAATGTGACACTGCTCTTCATGCTATGGGCGAGGCTGTTTACTAGTAAAAGGTTTGCAGATCCTGCAAAGGATAACTGCTTCCTCCTCCTTACCAGCTAAACCTAGTTTCTCCCCATCAGCTAAACCTGAGTGATGCTGGCTGTTGATTGCAGGGCTGACAGAGGGCAGACAAGTAGTGGGGATCCAGCTGGAGAGGGGAGAGCAGAGGAGAGGAAAAGATAGGAGAGACCTTGCTTGAGGGAATCTGCCTGCAGTGGGGAGGGACCGGGACCTTGACACGTTCCTGTGCTGCTGCAGGTGTGGTATGACCTATGTGCACCAGGGGAGAAAATGCAAAGGATGATTTTTACACACACACACAGAGAAAATGCAAAGGATGATTTTTACACACCCCCCCCCCTTTTTTTTTGTTAAACAGACAACTACATGGCAAATTAACAATCCTACTGTGGCCATCTCTCCATTAGCAGTGTTAAGGCCCATGGATTATCTTTTACACAAGGCAATGAGGGTCCATCAAATAGGAATAACCTTTCTAGCTGGTTAAGATGGCTATTGGAAAGGAGTCTTTACAAGAAACATTAATGGGATGAATCCCAGCAACTGTTGACTCAGCTACGGATGGTGCAGTGGAGTATTCCCTGCGGCTTCCCCCGAGTTTCCCTCACGAAGGACCTTAAAACCCCACCATCCCACCCGTGCTGTGCGGCCGCCGCCGGCTGCGGGCACCCGCTCCGCCGCAGCGCAGCCCGGGCTCTCCGGGAGCACCCTCTCCCTCTCCCGCTACGCTCATTTCGGCCGCCTCCGCTTTCGGGTTGAAGCAACTCCTTCGCTACAGTGCCATCGTGAGGCCGCGGTACCAGTGCTCTGGCCAGGAGCCTATCGATGAGCGGGGGGCGAAGGGGACAGTCCCAGCGCGCTGCGAGGCCCTGCTGCTGTGCAGGCAACGTGCCCCTGCCGTTCCCGAGGTAAAAGCTCTCTTTTTGCTTAAACTTGGCAGCAGTTCTTCTGAGGAGTTGCGCTCGGCGGTTCCCCTGCCTGTATGATTCAAGGCTGGATCTGAGCTGGCCACAATTTTGTTAGGAGTGCAGTGTGGGGAAGAAAACCCTCCTAGAGAAATCCTGCCACTGTGCAGCTAAAGCTGGAGTGGAGAGAGTGTGCATGGAAGGGGGTAGTCATGCACGGGAAGTGGATGGGCAAAATGAGGCAGTATGTGGCTCCTTCACCAGTTTCTCTGATTAGCGCCCGGGGGTCACCCTTTCTTTCAGGAGCACTGCTTTCCATGTACCTGCCACCAGTTTCTAAAGAGCTACCATTTCCCTTTGCGAAACAATAGTAGCTCTGAGGCTAAACCAGTGAGCAGGAGCTGAGATACACTTTCTGAGCAAGAACATGGTCCAAAATCTTTTTCTCTTCCCTCAGGCACAACTTCTGTTTCCATGGACGTGCTGTTCCTATTGCCGGCTGCTACTGCTGTCCATCACAATTTCATTATACACTTCTGCATGCGCTTCTAATTCTTGCGTTGCTGAACGCTCTTAAAGCAGCTACAGTGCTCATCATGCCATGATGGCTGAATGGTTATATTACTTTATATGCAGCCTGTAAAGGACTCCTGTTTACTCGATGAGAATGAGCTACAGAAAATACAAGCTATACTAGACTTGTTACTATTAATTTCAGCATCCCTTGCCTAAAATGATCCTAGATCAGAGGTTTCAAATACTCCAGCTCTGATTGATTGCCAAAGCAATTCTTCACAGGAGTGGGAGATGAGACTATCTCTTCACACCTGTGTGCACACTGGTAATTGACATTTGATTTTGTTTGTCGTGCAGGGAAAATAATGCTGAATGGCTGGTGGCCATTTTCTACGCAGCCCTGAACAGCAGCACGTGGCAGAGCCTGCCTCACCAGAAGGCACTGAAATTACTCAGTGACCTCTGTTTTCCTGAACGCTGCCCCATCTGTGCAGAGCGGAAAACTTCCCGCCCACAGTTTGTGTGCAAGAGTTTTGTCAACAAAGGTTTTGCCTCTTCAGTGACTCAAGAGGAGTAAGTAAAGGGTTGAATGCTGAGGTACTGCTTGTCCAGGCTTCCTCTTTGCTCTGAAACTTGCCTCATCCCACAGCTGAAGCATGGGCTGTCTTTTTGGGTTGGAAGGTGCTCAACTGCGTGTTGCCCTTAGGGCCACGTACCTGCCAGGGAAAATTGCCTTAGATGATGTATTAGCAATGAAAGACCTGGACTATGATCCCTGAGTGATTTTGTCCCTGGTTCCCTGAAGCCACTGATCAGGACTGGGGCATTGGATGCAGAAAAAAAAATTCCTATGGGAATATCTAGAGAGGACAGTTCTTACGGGTAGTGAACTTATGGTAGTACATGGACTAGACTATTGAGGATGTTAAGTCAGGGGAACACTGCTTGAGGGAAAGGACTCCTGCTTGTGCAGGATTGTTCTAGAGCCATTAGGCTCAGTTTTGCTCCACATGGCAGAGTAATGCCTGGAACACTTTAGATTCAAGCCTCTGAGTCTGACTGTTTCTCAAAGACCCAAGAAAGAGACTCGTAGTCAGACATTGAAGAAAACCATTGTTTGTTAAATTATTAGCAAGCTGCCTCAGGCTGTTATTGCCCATAAACGTTTCCACTTGTTTTCTCTTCCCAGAAACTTCCCCTGGTTTGACCTGACAGCTGCACAGCTGAGAGAGCGTCCCTTTAGCCAGTTGCTAGAGCAAAATGGTACCGGACAAGCTCACTCTTTTCTAATCCTCTAAACTATAACGAAGCCCATGGCAGAATGCTTTGCTGAGATCTCATCCCAGCACCCTGAGGGGTGCAAGAACCAGCACTGTTCACTCTTGGATTCTTTAAAATGTTCCAGCCGATAACCCTATGTACACATTTGCTTCTACAAGTTTCACTCTAGACTGCTCAGCAAACTTGCTTCTCCCTGGCTGCCTGAGTCTTGCTTTATTTCGGTCTGAATCTGCTTATTACATAGGCATCTTGGCCTACAAACTGCTTCAGTTTCACAGGGTTTCTGTTGCAGTTTCAACAGAAAACTGAATTACAAAACCAAATTACTGTTCTTTTGTAGTGGCTACAGCTTTGGCCTAAATAATTAAACAGGATCGGGCCCAGGATTTTTTTGGTTTGTGGGTTTGTTGGTTTTTTTCCATGGGGGATCTCGAGAAAGCTGTTGATGCCAGACAAAATAGTAATGATTTAGTCAGGAGCAGTCTTTCTGTTGAGCCGGGCTTTAATCAGCACTTATTCATACTTCCTTGCTGGCGATAACGCACACCACCATGGCCTAAATAATTAAACAGGATCGGGCCCAGGATTTTTTTGGTTTGTGGGTTTGTTGGTTTTTTTCCATGGGGGATCTCGAGAAAGCTGTTGATGCCAGACAAAATAGTAATGATTTAGTCAGGAGCAGTCTTTCTGTTGAGCCGGGCTTTAATCAGCACTTATTCATACTTCCTTGCTGGCGATAACGCACCCCACCACCACCACCACAGACTACATGATACTTCTTTCAAGGAAAAAGGAGGTAACTGGATATTCTGTCCAAATCCACCCAGGACAAAGCATTTTTTTATTCCCTAAATTCGCTAGTTCAGCTTACAGTATTCTCTTACACTTCCTGTCGTCATCTATCGTGTGTTTCGGTACTGTTTACTGTGATAAACCACTGCCTGGTTTTGCCTCACAGGAAATAATTTCTGTGGTGAGGCCAGGGACTAGTTGTGCGTGTTGTAACTAGTCCCCTCGCTTAATTACGATCGCCGACAGCAGCTGGCACCACACCTGTATACCAGTTATTGCATATGCCGTTTATCTTACATCTGGGCTTTACAGTGAGCCCAGTCTGCAGACACTAAAGCCTGGAAGAAATCTATTCACTTGAGCTGCAGGGAAGTTGTTATCAATCACTGGTAATTAAAGTATGTCTATGATTGTTTTTTGGTCTTTTTAATCAACTGTGAAGCAGAAGTGAAAGACAGACAGTGGTACAATCTGATTTATAGCTTCTGCTTCATTTAGTTCCTGGAAGCAAACAACAGATTGCAGAAAAGAGCCAATGTGGGGATGTGTTTGCTGTCATCAAATGGCTGAGAGCTGCAATGGCCTTTTCTACAATCGGGAGAAGGTGGAACTGTACCTCCTTGGACAAACTGCAAGGTAGTAAGGGTATATTCTTCTGTCCCTGCTGGGCTTCTTAAAAAGGTGGAAGTGCAGTGTGAGTCTCTAATCCTGCCTCCGGGTGCCCTGCGATACAGGGAGAGCATCTGGTTCTACCCCAGCCTGGGCTCGTTGCAACGGAGGAACTGTATAGGGCTCCAGTCCTGCTTCTTGAACAAACTGTGAGAAAGTGAGGGCATCTGCTTTCTTTCCTGATCGGGACTTCCGCTCCAGGAAGAGACCCATGTTGTCTCTGTATGGGAGGGCAATGGATCTGTTGAAGAGAGGCTCCTCAATCTCCAGCAACTCTTGCACGTGTCGTGAAATCTCCTGAAATACAAGACAAAATACCGGAAAAGCTAATTTCACAGGCCAACAGCTAATACTACTCATTCTGTGTCAGAGCAGCAGGAAAAAGAACTGAATTTCTGAATTTTGGAAGAGTTTCACGCTTGAAGTTGCAACTCGAGAGGGGTCTGAACCCATGAGCCCTGTGTGACATTGTAAAAGCAGAGCAGACTGCTCATTCTCCAGATTTACTCTGGGGGATGGCATCACATCTGGTCTCTGAGTGGTACAAATAGCTCTGCTTTCCTCTTTGCACTTGCAGAACAAACAAGTTATGGGTGAATGAGCTGGAGTCTATTCTGCCTAATGCAAAAACATTGCTGTTTGCTAAGTTATATTGTCAACAACAGAGTCTATACACAGAAGAGGTGTAAAAGCTAATTAAACCAATAAGCCATATTGCTCATGAAGAAAATGATGGGTGACTGGCTGTCTGAGCAAGCTGGACCTGGAACTGTCAGTGAACAGAGCTTTGCCATTATTTTTGAAGTCACTTCTGAGAATGTAACCTTCTGATTCGACTGAAGCTTCAAAACACAATTCACAAGGTTTTACTGATCTTTCACAGCATTTGCTCAAAACCTTCCCCCAACTTTGGCTTGACTCTGAAGAGCAGTACCCTACTGTGTGTGATATCAGAACTCCAGACTAGTGTCTTCAGTGGTTTTGGTATTTAAAATATCAGTACAGTGGAATTAAAACCAGCAGTAACTTCATTTGTCCATGCTGCGTAGCTTCCACATAATTCACTGTGTAGTTCTCTACCAAACTGCCATTTCCCCTAAATTGCAAAAAGTTTCTATCTCACTGAGCTGATGCTATCATGTTTATTTCTATAGTAACTATCTCGGTTTCAACTGGTCACAGCCTTTCATTTATATTTCTTGTTGGGAAGCTGATGTGCCCAGGATTATGGCCTTAACTTTGCACCTGCTCTAGTACATGCTACCTGAAAGACCCAAAGGGCCACATTCTGCTCAGAGCTCTGCACGCTTGGATTCTATCAGAGTAAAGTTCTCTAAAACACAAATAACTAGCAGGCTAGGGCATGATCTTCAAGAACATCTAAGTTCCACTGAAGTCTGTGAGATGTTCCCCATTCACTTGCAAGCTTTGGAAAACATTACAGAGACAGTCTCATTTCCAAGCTTGCTGCAGTATGCTGGCTATCGCTTATCCTAGCCCTGAGGAATTTCAGTTTCTACAGGAGGAAGAATGGGTTACAGTTGATATCTCTAATGCATGGCTTAGTGTTTCTCAACAGTCAAACTACCACCATACATAATCCCTATATCCCAGTGTGAGGTGAGGCTTACAAAATCTATAGAATTCTTGCTATCTTTGGTAAGTGCAAATGACTATAAAGGGCTGTATCTGCTTGTACTAGAAATACTCTTGAAGGGCTGCTGTCTGAAAAACTAAGCGTTGTAATTTGATGCCTTCTCCAACCAACAGGCAAAGTTGTGGTGCTAGTCAATGTTTTCGGCGGCATGTTTCATTTCAAACAGTTAAGATTGTGCAGCCAGACAGAACTGTGGTGAAATTGCTTTTTGGTGCTCTAGAATAAAACAGTGTTCATACTCTAGTCATTGGAGCATAAAGCTTTTTCTCTCTTCCTGTTTTTTTGAACTTCTACCTTGTGTCCTCTGAGGAAAGGAACTTTAAATCATGATGAGAAACAAATGATTTGACTCTGTAAATGCAGCCCCACATCCCTCTGTGGTTTCCACTAGGGAGGGGAAGGAGGGTAATGAAATTTAAGTCAACTTGCTTATTTTCTGAACCTTCAGGAAGCTTTGGAAGGCCAGACTGTAGCCCTGAACTTCAGTCTAGTTAGCTTAACTATCAGTATTTGTTAAAGAAAAGATGTAGGTTTGAAAGGAAAATGACCAGACAATTACAGGTTTATAAAATGAGGAAGAGACAGAGATGCTGTTTGTGTTCAGCAAAGTGTAAAACAAGGAAGTAATAATGAGTTGCCCTTCTGCTGCTTGAGATTGGTGGCTCAATTGCTGCAGGTTAAATGTGACTAGATTTTTGGAAGTTCTACAAATCAGTAAGTGGAAAATTACTGAAAAGAAGTTCTGAAGGATATCTAAGAAAGGCACGTGCATCTTGCTAAGCAATTTCATGGGGCAAGAGGAGCAACATAGGCTTAAAGAAAGGCTAAGCACTTCTGATGAACTTATGGTGTCCCAAAGAGGAGGCCTGCGATCTCCAGCCGGCTAAGGGTTTATACCTGAAAAGACTCAAGAAATTTAACTGTTTGGCTGAACAAATTTGGTTGTCCAGTTTCAGGCTCACTCTTTGAATAAGCAGTCTGCCTGGGCGGACAGGCTATAGCCTAGCTTGCTCGCAAGCAGAAAGGGTCAGGGCTGGGCTCCGAGGGACTGAGGAGGGAGCTGCGGGACCCGCTGCCGGCCGCACCTGCATGTGGCCGAAGTCCGTGACGCCCATGGCGGGCAGGCTGGAGCAGTTCGCGAGGATGAGGCGGCGGCCGGTGATGCCGTTGGCCCTGAAGCACTCCTGGGCAGGGAAGCGGAGAGAAAGGCGGGTGGGCCGCGGGCAGCGGGTCACGT